TTTAGAAAGGTTTTGTTTGTTTGTTTTTTCTTTCAGGGTTATGCAATATTCTAGTAATAAAATAAAGAAATTTCTTATTGTAGAGATTGCAAGGGAGGACTACTGGAACAGAAGAATGAAGAGTCAAGTGTCTTTAGCTATGAAGTGAGCCACTTACAAAGCGACTCCCTTTCTCGTGACCGGCGAGTGGCACAGGGTGATTGCCTAGTGCTGGGAGGGGCTGGCTGCATGTACTCGCTCTCAGTCCTGGGGCGGCTAACACCGTGCCACCTGCAGAACAGGGCAGGACACTCTGAGAACACGTGGGTAGGTTTTGAGACAAATTCGGACATTGCTGGCTTTGTGACCTTGAGTAAATCACTATGAACTGTCTTCTCATGTCTTGCCCATTTTTCTACACAGTTGTAAGTTTTTTCTTCTCCACCTTTCTAAATTCTCGAATCCTTTGGGACAGGTATTACAAATATAGTGTTCTTTTTTTTGTCATAATAAAGCTATATATGCATTGTCACGGATTGAGTTGTGTCCCCCCCAAATACACGTCAACTTGGCTAGGCCATGGTTCCCAGTATTGTGTGGTTGTCCTCCATTTTGTGATCTGATGTAATTGTCCTATGTGTTGTAAATCCTAATCTCTACCTTTGGTTAATGAGGCGAGATTAGGTTATGTTAAAGAGGGTTAGGGTGGGATGCAACAACCTTACTCAGGTCACAGCCCTGATCCAATGTAAGGGGAGTTTTCATGGCATGTAGCCTGCATCATCTTTTATTTTACAAGATAAAAGAAGAGCCGACAGAGAGGGGCCTACTACCAAGAAAGAAGAGCCAGAGCGATAGCGTCCTTTGGACCCAAGGTCCCTACACTGAGAACCCCCTAGATCCAGGGGAAGATTGATGCCAAAACACATGGAGATCTCCAAGGAACACCAGGCCTGCAGACGTTGAAAGCAGACAAGGACCTTGCCCCAGAGCCGACAGACAGACAAAGCCTTCCCCTAGAGCTGGCGCCCTGAATTCGGACTTCTAGCCTCCTAAATTGTGAGAATAAATCTTTTTTTTAAAGCCATCCGCTTGTGGTTTTTCTGTTACAGCAGCACTAGATAACTAAGACATATATACATATACAAAGAGTCAAATTGATCAATCTTTTCCCTTATGGCTCATAGATTTTGAGTCAAAGATTATAGGAGAATTTGCTTGTTTTCTTCTGGTACTTTAGTGGTTTCATTTTTCTATCCACTGTAATAACCAGCCTCACAGAGACCCTCAGTGATCCCTACCTTTGGTATTTTTGTCCTGGTGGTACAGTTGTTAAAGCACTCAGCTGCTAACCAAAAGGCTGGTGGTTCAAACCCACTAGCCGCTCCACGGGAGAAAGATGTGGCAGTCTGCTTCTATGAAGATTTACAGCCTTGGGAACCCTACAGGGTCGCTAAGAGTCAGAATTTTCTCAGTGGCAGTGGGTTTGGGTTGGTAGTAGCCTCTCACTTTGAATAGAGCTGACTAGTGTAACAATATGCCGAACTGTGGAAATGACAAAGTGTGACTTCTGAGTCTGGGTCATAAAAGGCATCATGGCTTCTTTCTGCTCTCTGTTGGATCCCTCTCTCTGGGGGACACTCAAGCAACCCTATGGAGAGACCTGTGTGGTGCCAAACCGAGGCCTCCTGCCCACAGCCGTGGGAGTGATCCATTGTGGACATGGACCCTCAGTCCTAGTCAAGCCGCATGATGCAATCCTGGCTGACATGCTGACCACAACCCCCCGGGGAATAGTCAGAACCACCCATTTGCAATGCTCCCAAATCCCAGATCCACAAAAACTGTGAGATGATAAATGTTTGTTGTAAGCCAATAGATTTTGGAGTAACTTGTTAACAGCAATAGATGATATATCCACAAATTATTTTGTGAGCACATTAGATTTGAGTATGATAGTTGTATCTCTTTTGCTCCGCAGTCCTTTCTTTGTTTCTCTTCTGGCTCCTGGCCACAGTGGAGATGACTGAAGCTGTGGGTGTGATCTCTGGATACATACATAAACTGGTGTTGTATCACCCCAGTCTCCGGAGTAAGACGGACAGGGCCATGTGCAGGTTTGGGGGACTATTCTGTGTTGGTTAACTGCATCTTACAACATGGATGAATCTGGAGGGCATTATGCTGAGTGAAATAAGTCAAGCACAGAAGGGCAAATACTGAATGAGGCCACTGTTATAAAAACTCATGAAAAAGTTTACACACAGAAAGAAATCATCTTTGATGGTTACGAGGGAGGGGAGAGGTGGTGAGGGAAAAATACTAACTAGACAATAGATAAGCGGTAACTTTGGTGAAGGGTAAGACAGTACACACTACTGGGGAAGCCAGCACAACTTAACCAAGGCAAAGTCACAGAAGCTTCATACACACATCCAGATTCCCATAGGGATTGTGTTACTGGGCTAAGGGCTGGGGACCATGGTCTCTGGGGACATCTAGCTCAACTGGCATAAAAGAGTTTATAAAGAAAATGTTCTACATCCTACTTTGGTGAGTAGCATCTGGGGTCTTAAAAGCTTGTGAGTGGCCATCTAAGATATGTCTACTGGTTCCACCCCATCTGGAGCAAAGGAGAATGAAGAAAACCATAGACACAAGGGAAAGATTAGTCCAAAGGACTAACGGACAACAACCACCACAGCCTCCACCAGACTGAGTCCAGCACAACTAGGTAGTGCCTGGCTACCACTACTGACTGCTCTGATACAACAGAGGGTTCCGGACAGAGCTGGAGAAAAATGGAGAACAAAATTCAAACTCACAAAAAAGACCAGACTTACTGGTCTGATGGAGACTGGAGAAACCCTGAGATATGGCCACGGGACACCCTTTTAACTCAGTACTGAAGTCACTTCTAAGGTTTACCCTTCAGCCAAAGGTTAGACAGGCCAATAAAACAATAATGCACATAGATCAACCATGAATATGAGATTAAATGGGCACACCAGCCCAGGGGCATGGACGAGAAGGCAGGAGGGGACAGGAAAGCTGGACAAATGGAAATGGAGAACCCAAGGTCAAGAGGGGGAAAGTGTTGAAATGTTGCAGGGTTGACAACCAATGTCACAGAACAGTACGTGTATTAATTGTTTAATGAGAAACTGATTTGCTGTGAAAACCTTCACCTAAAGTGTGCACGCGCACACACGCATACGCATACACACACACACACACACACACACACACACACAGAGTCTTCCTCAGGGAATATTCTACAAGTTCTCGTGACTCACTCCTATATAATCTAAGATCACTTAATAGGCAAATGTGTTTTGTCAACCTCCAGGAGGGGACTAGATTACAAAGCACTTTCCAAATTTACGTACCATAAAACTTTTTTCCCACCCTGCTAACTCAGAACTGAAGCCACTCCCAAAGTTCACCTTTCAGCCAAACATTAGACAGGCTGATAAAACAAACAATAACACACGTGAGGATCATGCTTCTTAGTTCAATCAAGCATACGAGACCAGATGGGCAATACTTGCCCAAATGCAAACACGAGAAGGCAGCAAGGGACAGGAAAACTGAACAAATGAACACGGAGAACCCAGGGTGGAAAGGCGGAGAGTGCTGACACATTCCAGGGATTGCAACCAATGTCACAAAACTATTTGTGTATAAATTTTTGAATGAGAAACTAATTTGTGTGATAAACTTTCACCTAAAGCACAATAAAATTTAAAAAAAAAAAAAGATCTGGTGTCTGTTGCTTTGCTATCTAATCCAAGACTTGATTATCTCATTCAGGAGTCACCAGCCTCTGTGACCAGCTGATGTTGAAATAAACATTTATACCACAAAACCATGGTGTTAGCAAACAGTGTGTCCTTTCTTAAGATACGTAACCCCTCTGGGAATGCCTTCTCACCTGTAAAGTTGTGATAACAGGCTCTACCTGAATGACTTTTATGAGGATTATATAATACTTACAACGTTCTTACTACCTCATACACAGTTAAGTGCTTAATATTAGCTATTATTACTCCTAGGATTATCATAACTCCTAGGATTAAAGGACTATTATTTCAACCTCCCAGGCTACAACCTTAACTCTTTCCTCTCCCTTGCTCTGCATATTCAACCAATTACCGCACTGCATCAAGTCTACCTCCGAAATGTTCCCTAGATCATTCCTGTTTCCCCATTCTACGCTTTCCCACAGCTACTCTCCTCATTCTTTCTTGCCTGGTACATCCCACGAGCCTCCAGTCCAGCCCATTCAATCGTCACCATGCTGCTGTTAGGGCAAGGTGACTTTTGTAAACATGAACTTGATCACGTCACCACCTTTCATGGCTTCCCATGGCTCATAGCGCTGGAATCACTTTGGGGGCGGGGGAGAGGTAGGGAGTTGTTAAAAATGCAGACTCCAGGGTACCACTCCAGACTCTACAATAGATTCTGAAATGATTGTGTCAGAGCAGAGTTCCATGTAGTTGAGGAGCAGATCAAGGAGGGGTCCCAAACTGTGGATCCTGTCACTCAAGGTGGATGGAAGCCAGCAGACCCTCCCAGTAGGACATGTGTCCTCCTTTGGCCTCTGGTGTTTTTCTCACTTCTGTGGCCCCATTTTGTATTTCTGGGGATACAGTCAGTGCACAAGGATTTTCACCTTCAGAAAATGATGCTTAAAAAAAAACCAACCTATATACTGGAGGTGCTATCTGTGCATTCTCCCCAGGAAATATACCACATTAAAATGGTTTGTAAATGAGGCTCAGGAGTATATTCTGTATCTTATCCAAAAATATAAGGAATGGGGGACCAATTATAAGAGCAGTTGTAGGAGAAACTGTTGACAACTGATTTAAAAAAAAAAAACAAAAAACCATTGCATCTGGTTGATTCTGACTTATGGCGACCCCATGTGTTACAGAGTAAAACTACTCCATAGTTTTTTGGCTGTGATCTTTACTGAATCAGATCACCAGGCCTTTTCTCCGCAGTACAGTTGGGTAGGTTTGAACAGCCAACCTTTAGGTTACTAGTCCAGTGTGAACTGTTTGCACCACCCAGGGACCGCTTGTAAAAGAGAAGACTCAGATTTAAACAGGCTCCTTCCAAAAGGCTGTGCTCGGAGGTCAGAGCATTCCAGCCACTAAAAAGGTGGAGCCAAGAGAAATTCACATCTCCAGGCCTGCATTAAACATTCCCCATTACAATGCAACATACCAAATAACCTAAGATGCCTAAAGTGGCTCCCCACGTGCCCTAACAGAACACAAAGCAGAGTACTCTGCGCACATAAATTAAAGGAGGCCCTTTAACACTCTGTGCAGTGGAAAATTTATAATTTGGCATCAGGTCTACTGGCAGGGTTCATGTGAAACTACAGGGCTGACACCTGCCCCTTGCTCCTCCTACCTCCTCCAAAAGAAGCACACTCACGTGTCGACCTTGGTTTAAAAAAGTCCTAGGCTTCCAGTTTTAGTGGGGTAGGTGTCATGAGGCCTGGATTTGCATCCTATTCTTACAACGGGAGGTCACGTGTGTCCCTAGGCATTTCTGCTCTCAGTCCCAGCGCCCTCAGTAGGTATGACGCGACCGCCCTCTGCCCACAGCTCTGTGACACCCCTTCCTCAGCGGCTGTAACAGCTATCGTCCCGCGAGAATGACCTAAAAAGTCACGAGAGCACTCTAGGCGATGTCTGCTCCAGTGGCCGCCACTCCCCTCCAGAAGGCGCCACTCCCCTCCAGTAGGCAGGCCCTAGTAAAGGCCGAACGGCCTGGGTTCACCGAGCACCCAGTGTGCACCTCGCCCGGCGTCTCTCTTGAGAGACACCGGTCTCGGTCCTCAAGCCCAGGAAGGCCGCCAGGAGCTCCTGCCGCGCCAGAACCCGGTACCGGGGAGCCCCGCGCCGCCGCCCCGCCGCCATGAGCGGCCCCCTAAGGTCAGGACCGAGCAGCTGGCGGCGGGCGGCCTCCGTGGTGCTGGCGGCGGGCTGGGGGCGCCCGGACCCCGCCGCCCCGTCGTTGCCCGCCGCGGGCTTCCGGCTGCTGCTGCTGCAGCGCTCCCAGCGCCAGGGCTTCTTGCCCGACGCGCACGTCTTCCCGGGCGGCGTGCTGGATGCTGCCGATAGCTCCGCCGACTGGCAGCGTCTCTTCGCGCCCCACCTCGGGCCGCCGCGCTTCGGCCTGAGCTCAGCGTTGCCCTCGCGCGCCGCCTTCCCCGTGCTGCCGGGCGACCGGCCCGACGCCGCCGACAGCGACCCCGCGGCGCTGCTGGATGACGTAGCCCTCCGCATCTGTGCGATCCGCGAGGCCTTCGAGGAGGCGGGTGTGCTGCTGCTACGGGCTCGCGGCGCCCAGCCGCACTCAGGGCCCGCGCCCGAGCCCGGCTGCGCCCTCGCGCCGCCGCCCGACCTGGAAGCTTGGCGCGCTCGTGTCCGCAGCGACCCGCGCCACTTCCTGCACCTGTGCGCACACCTGGACTGCACGCCCGACATCTGGGCGCTGCACGACTGGAGCGCCTGGCTGACGCCGTTCACGCGCCCCGGCGGCCGTCGCTTTGACACAGCCTTCTTCCTGTGCTGCCTGCGCAAGCCGCCGACCGCCTGCCCGGACATGGCCGAGATGGTGGGCTACCAGGTAGGGCGTCCTTACGGCAGGAAGTGGGGAACAACCGGAATTTGAGAATAAGGACCCGGAAAGGCTGATCCCAGAGTGGTTTAACTTCCCCAGGGTTGTATAGCCAGTAAATGACCGATTAGGGTTGGGACCCAGGCAGTCAAAACCAAAGCTATTAAGGCTTTGACCCTGTCTCCTCACGCGGTTCCCCTGAGGGGGGCGGCCAAATTCAGAGCCTCCTAGCTGGGTAGAGCGCTGATCTAGGCTCTGTCCCAAGCACTTGACATGTATTAACTCATTAAATCCCCATGGCAGCTTTATGAGGGGGTGGTGGTTGTATGCCGTCGAGTCGATTCCGACTCACAGTGACCTATTGGGTAGAACAGAACTGTCCCATAGGGTTTCTTAGGCTGTAAATCTTTACGGGAGCAGATAGCCAGGTCTTTTATCCCGCTGGGCGGCTTGTGGGTCCCAACCCCCGACCTTTTGTTACCAACTGAGCTCTTAACCAGGCTCTTTACTTTATGAGGTAGGTACTGTAATTAGCATCTGTCTAGAGTCCCTAGGGAAGCTCTGGTGGCCCAGTGGTTAAGAGCTCAGCTGCTAGTCAGAAAGTCAACAATTTGAATCCAGCGGCCGCTCCTTGGAAACCCGATGGGGCAGTTCTACTGTCTTACAGGGTCGCTATGAGTCAGAATCAACTCGATGGCAACGGGTTTAGTTGTTGTTTGGTTATTGAGTTACTAACTGTATCTCTTTGTGATTGCTCTAAACCCCAAACCAAACCAGACCCATTGCCATTGAGTCGATTCCGACTCATTGTGACCCTATAGGACAGAGTAGAACTGCCCCATAGAGTTTCCAAGGAGCACCTGGTGGATTGCTCTGGGTTTGTAATATACATCTTTGGTTTCGTAAAGTGTTAGAACGATATACTTTCATTGCTTCCCTCCTGTCCTTTATGCTACTTTTGTCAGACATTTGACTTTTATTTATAAACCCCCTAATACTCTTCATTGATTTTACTTCAGACAGCGAATCTTCTAAAGAGAGTGAAATCAGTCTTCTGTGTTTACCTCCATATTTGCCAGTTTGGGTACTTTCCATTTCTTTGTGTAGATCTAAATCTGGTATCCTTCTGCCTAAAGGCTTCCTCTCACATTTCTTGTAGTGCAGATCTTCTGGCAACGAATCCTTTCCATTTTCTTTGTCTGAAAAGACTTTATTGTGCCTTTATTTTTGAGAGAGTTTTGTTGAATAGAATTCAAGGTTGACAGTTGTTACTTAAAGGTGTTGCTCTATTATCTTCTGGTTTGCATATTTTCTGATGAGAAGTCTTATATGATTCTTACATTTTTTCCTTTATATTAATGTGTTATTTTTTCTATGGCCGCTTTGAAGATTTTCTCTTAATCATTGGTTTTCAGCAATTTGATTATGATGTTCATTGGTTTAAGAAAACCAAAAAGATTAGTTCATTATTTCTTTAAATATTTTTCTTGTTACCCTGTTTGTCTGAGACTCCAATTACACGTATGTTGAGCAACTTCTTAGTGTCCTACAGGTCGCTGGTGCTTTATTTTTTTAATCTTGTTTCTCTCTCTGCTTCTTTTTTTTAGATTCTATTGCTTTGTCTTTAGGTTCTCTTTTCTTATGTAGTATTTAATCCACTGTAAATGCCATTCCATATATTTTTCATTTCAGACATTTTTCATCTCTACAAGTTCCATTTAGTTCCTTTTTATATTTTCTATTTCTTTCATCTTGTTCATATTTCCGTTTCCATCTTTGAGCATAACCAAAAAAAACCCATGGCTGTCAAGTTGATTCCAACTCATAGTGACCCTATAGGGAACATATTTTTAACAGTGTTCGTAATGCCCTTTTCTACTATTCCATGTCCTTCATTTTTGCGTCTATTTCTATTGACTGATTTTTCTCCTAGTTATGGGTCATATTTTCCTGCTTTGTCATATGTCTAACAATTTTTGGTCAGATGTTGGATTTTGTGATTCTGTGTTGTTGAGTGTTGGATTTTGTTGTATTCCTTTAAGGAGTGTTAGACTTTTCCTGGCAGTCAGTTAAGCTTAAACCTATGAGTCAAAATCAACTCGATGACACCTAACAACAAGAACAATTGCAAATTAACTTGATCTTTTTGAGGTTTGTTTTTAAAGTATTTTGGGGTAGGCCTATAGTAGCCTTTATTCGAGGGCTAATTCACTGCACTGCTAACCTGTGACCCTTCTGGGATTTACTGAATGTGTCTTATATTTAGCAGGGTCTCTCCATGGTGGTTCGAGAGAATTAAAAAAATTCCTGGCCTTAGGTGAGCTCTGGGAACTGTCTTACACCCCCTAGGTAATTGTTCTTTCCTCAGAAATCATTTTTTCCAAGTCTCGCATGGTTTCACTTTATGCATGCATAGACTAGTGTTTATAAAGTTGAGCCTACGAGCTTGGCCTAGAGTCATCCAAGGCAGAAATCTTCAATTTCAACTTCCTTCTTGGGCATCAGTTTTCCCCAGTGTAAGTGGATATTTAGTAAACCAATTAAGGAAAGACCTTTTTGGATTACTCCATGTTCATTGACTCAGCTCTTTTTTACCTGAATATCTATGGGAGGAGAGTTTGGGAAAAGCACATTGCAGCAGGGAGTCCAGTTGAGATAAATGGGCAAATTCTGCCTGGTTGATGCCCTGCAGAGTTCTTTCTCCCAGGTCTGTAGACTGAGCTATGTCTCTTGACCTTCCTAAAAGCCCCCATTGCATCTGATTCTTCACCCCATTGTAACATGTGGCACATATCATACTGCATTTTGGTTGCTGAAGGCCCCATAAGACCTGAGAGAACTTTGTCTTGCCCACTACTACGTCCCTAGGGCCTTAGCCCAAGCACTCATTTTACGGGAGCAACAAATGGGCACCAGCTTCTCAAGCTGCTGTCATGAATTGACCCTTCAGAGTCTTCCTTTGGGAATAACCAGAACCACCTTGTGACCCTTCTGGGATCTGCTGAATGCCTCTTATACTCAACAAGGTCTCTCCATTGTGGTTCGAGGGAATTAAAAAAATTCCTGGCCTTAGGTGAGCTCCGGAAATTGTCTTACAGCTCCTAGGTAATTGTTCTTTCCTCAGAAATGCCCTGTCAGCATCTCCTGCCGCTTATGCTGGACAATTTTCCTAGGTCAACTCTTGGTGATCTCTCCTGGTTTATTTACCAGTTCTCAGGAGTGGTGTCCCAGTAATCAACTTCTTAAAGGGATCATCCCAGTTTTCTTTATAGACTCTTTTCATGGTTTTCAGAGGGATCTAGAAAGGCATGTTCTTCAGTTAGGTCTGAACTACTGGATCTCACGATCTCAAATTTCCACATTGTGGAATAAGCCTCAGGAAGCCCTACCTTGTCTCCCACAGTGGTTGTCTCCGTCAGAAGCAACGGAAAGTTTCCTATCAAAAGAAATTTGGTTGGCACCCCCACAGTTCTACGAAATAAGAAGACTAGCAAATTTCGCCTCTCTCTCAGACTTGCACAAATTTTGTTTGGATCATGCATTAGAAGGGAGGGAAAGATGGCTGCCAATCACGTTATTAACTGCAGATGGAGCACTCCAGCTTTTACCAGGTAAGCTAGTGAAGCATCAAGGCCTTTGTTAATATTCACATTTAAGGCGCTGAGCTGTATAGCCATATTGCCCAGCACAAAGACATGAATTTCAGCTTGTGTTTAAAGAGGGTATTAATTAAATACGGTGAAAGTCTAGAAAATAGTCATAGTATTTTTTATAACCAGGAATTCTGAATAATGTCACTTTATACACACAGGCACACGTGCATTTATGTAAATGTATTTCTGAACCATTACAAAGTTCTTTCTCATACGTTATCTCACTTTTTTACATTTTAATTTTGAATTAAAGAGAACCTGTAAGTTGTCAATGTATTTGAATTATGGAGAGTTTGTTGGTGGTCAGTCGTTAAATAAGCATGGAATGGAGCATCTGTGGTGGTTTAGGGCAGGGCTTTGTGGCCTGTCTGACTTCGTGGGTACCTCTCTCAGTTCCTCAGAATAGAGGTAAGATTTATTACTCAACTTACACGGGGAAAATTCTGCAGTTTTGAAGTGTAAATGATAATTTCTCTAATTTAAACATAAATTATCAAAGAGTAGCCCACATTGAAATACCAGAAGTATATGGATATCAAGACCAATATTGATATCAATATTGAATAGGATAAAGAGAGTCATGAACTAGTGTAAAACGTACAGTTCTTGATGAAAACGCACCAGTCACAAATGCTTCTGTTCTCAAAGAAAATACTTGACCAGGTGGTGGGAGGGTGGGACATTAGGGGAGAAAAATATTAAACATACAAGAAAGAAATTTATAAGCTCATTAAATTGGAGGTTATTTAACAACGATTTAAGTTCCAAACACATGAAATAGATAAAAGGAAGTACTGATTTGTGTGTCACTAATATATTGGAATGTTTTATAAATTAATGCTTTATGGAATTAAAAATTTATTATTTTTCAGGAGATGAACTATACTTGGAAGATTCAGACTACTTAGAAAATAGTTTATCCACTGAGAAAAAAATTGAAGAAATCATGAAGGAAGGCAAAAAATTTCACCGAGTAGTGATGCATGATCGCCATCTTTATAGTATCCATGTGACTGTTCCGACAAAGCATAAACACGTTTATCCGAAGACCTATGTAGTGGCTAAGAGCCGTGTGTAGGGTGTTGCTTCTTTGGAAGTTGGCCTATTTGAAGTAGTCCTAATGAATGAGGGTTGACTAAAGCTGCCTGAAACTTAAGGAAATTTGTGCCTGTAAAAGTTATAGCACATTCTTTCTTATTGCAAATGTATATACTGAACTCTCTTGCTTATTTTATTTCTTAAATCTTAGTGTACCACAACTATAAAGTATTGATGATCTTTTTACCATAATGAGAATAAATTTCACAAGAGTTTCTACTTCTGTATTGTTTTGATTATCACAAAAGCTTAAATAAGATGTTCTGCTATCATTCTTCTTCTAATTGTCCAGTGTATTCGCACTGGTCCAGTGCTTAGAAAGGTTGCTTTATGAATTCCCTAGGCTCTCTGCTGGGATTGGGTGACATAGCAGAGGGTGAACAGTAGACTGAGACAACCCATAATAATAATGTCATTATTTTCATGCTATGTCTTTAGCTTTGATGATTAAGTACAATTCTGTTTAAAAATCAAGTATAATATGTTGAGAGGGAAGTTGTGCGAGAGTCACAAAAATAACTCTTACTTATATATGGGCTCTGAAGATTCCAGCCTCTGAAAAAAATGCACAGATGTACTATGGATGCCTGAAAGATTAAAAACTTTTGAAGTAGAAGTGTATAGTAGAACTCTCCTGATTGTGAATGTGGAAATCAGTTAAAATATAGGAAGTACACCTCAGTAGCTATTACTGAATAACAGTATTTTTGTATTTTCAGTATATAATAATGTTAAAAAGCTCTGCAAAAAAAGAAAAAAGAAAATCCCAACTTTAACCTATTTTGTTACAAAAAAACCTTTTTAATAAAAGTAATTTGATTCAATAGTCTCATTATATTGTCATAAACAGGAAGTGGCTATGGGAAGAATGGGGGAAAAATGAGAGGACGGAGTCAATAGTTGCCGTTTTATTTGTGAAAATCGAGAAATAACTGTTCAATGTTTTTTTAACGCCAAAGTGCTTAATAGAAGTAGCAGCAGGAAGGTCACTTTTCCAATCAGTCATAAACAAAAGCATAATCCCTAAAGCCAAGAATAGGAAACAATGGAAATGGCAGCAAGGCATAGAAAGCAGAAAGCTTAAGATGATTGAAAGTGGGACTGGTTATCAGCCATGACAATACATAAAAATGGGTTCAATTTATTAAAAGAAAAAGCATCTCAGAGTAAATATTTTAAAACCTAATTATAAATTGCTTCAAACAATTCTACAGGAAGGCTAAGAAAAAAAGATTAGGCGGAGACACACACGGAAATACGAAGAAAGCAGGAAACCGAAACCCAAACCAAAACCATTGCCGTGGAGTCCACTCACAGCGACCCTACAGGACAGAGTAGAATTGCCCCATAGGGTTTTCAAGGAGCGGCTAGAGGCTTTGAACTGCCGACCCTTTGGTTAGCAGCATAGCTCACTGTAGCTTTTAATCACAGACGAAGCAGAACTCTAGAAATAAAGCAACTGTGAAAGACCACTCTAAAACTGAGGCACTTGGCATAAGGAAAATGGCCGGCAAAGGTCTGAACTTGACTCCATTTTGTCCTATGCCCCGGCTTCTGTTTCTTACTATGTGACCTATGACTACACTCTTGACCAAAACATTCTGACGCGGCCCACACAGATTGTTGCAGGAACCAACTCCAAGGTAGGAAACTGTGGCTAAGGTTGAGTGCCCCAGCCAATAGTAATTCTTGATAAATGAGCCCTACGGGGCATGTTGAATGGCAACCAATCAAACGTACCCTGTACTCTTTCCCCACCTTGTACAAAGTTCTGATGAAAGACGTGTGCTTATGCGACCTCTTTAGGACGCCATTTTGAACTTTCATTTTGGCGCTTCCCGGTATGCAAATCTTTGAATCTAAATAAAACTCTTATTTTATAGAAAGTCTTTCATTTTTAACACAGTAAATGAAACAGATATCAATTTTATTTTGATAGTGTAAAATTCAAAACGAAAATCTGAGAATCTTCTTACAGTGAATAACAACATTAAGATGAAAAAAATGCATTGGAAATGCAAGGATAATCTGATGTATAATAGTGGGAACCATGAACAAGGTTTTCTGTGATGGACATATTAAGTCCATAAAAGATAACTGAGGTGTCTGGGAAAAACATTTGGGTTGAATGCCATATACACAATGTCCAGTCTCTTAGCTGATGTAAAATGGGTGAGAAATAAACCAAAATTCTCTTTTAAAAAAATCAGCTGACAAAATGGTCAAGCCAGTTTTCGAGACAAACTTGCTTTTCATCCTTTTTGTAAAAACGATGAGAATATTTTAAAACTGGGGAAGTGCAGACTGCCTTTTACAACTGATGACTCCAAGGCAAGATAATTTGAAATCCATGTGGAAGAGGAGGGATCTGGGAAGGAGAGAGGGAGAAGGTCCTCCTGGTGCCCATTTGTAAGAACTACGCCAGTTCTGTAAAACTTGGATCAACCGCTGTCTTCTCCCCAACCCCACCTGGTCACAGGCACGCTGATGGGAGAAACTGAGCCTGACTGAAGGTTTCGCTGTCCATGACTCCCCCTTCTGCCATTCCTAAAGTTTTGCCTTCTCTCCCTCTCCCCCTTCTCTTCGGGCTTGAAAAATGCTTTTAGGTGGAGAGCAAACAAATATAAAAATAAGAAAATACTCCGTGCAGGCCCCTTGCAGAACCAGAATATCATTCCCCATAGTGGGAGAGACACTAATATTCTAACAGCCTCTAGTCAGGCCATGGTGCCTGGAAGAGCCAGTCTGCTCATAGCAGCCTTAGAAACAATTGTTGGTTGTTTGCTAAGCCATGACCTGGCCATATTTGTGACTGAACAACAGTATTAAACCTTCCTTGCGTTACTGGATTAAGGTTTACAGCCTACTTGGCCATGTCGTTAGGTGCCATCAGATCAGTTTGAACTCATAGCAACCTCTGCACAACAGAACAAACACACTGCCCAGTGCTGCGCCATAATCACAGTCGTTGCTACCTTTGAGCCCACTGTTGTAGCCACTGTGTCAATCCATCTTCTTGAGGGTCTTCCTCTTTTCCACTGACCCTCTGCTTTACCAAGCATGATGACCTTCTCCAGGGACTGGTCCTTTCTGATGGCGTGTCCTAAGTATGTGAGACAAAGTCTCGCCATCCTCACTTCTAAGGAGCATTCTGGCTGTACTTCTTCCAAGATAAATTTGTTCATTCTTCTGGCAGTCCATGGTATATTCAGTATTCTCCGTCAACACCATAATTTGAAGGTGTCAATTCTTCTTCGGTCTTCCTCATTCATTGCCCAGCTTTCGCATGCATATGAGGCTTGGGTCAGACGCACTTTAGTCCTCAGAACAACATCTTTGCTTTTTAACACTTAAAGAAGTCTTTTGCAGCAGATTTGCCCAATGCAATACATCATTTGATTTCTCGACTGCTGCTTCCATGGGCGTTGATTGTGGATCCAAGTAAAATGAAATCCTTGACAACTTCAATCTTCTCTCCATGTATCGTGATGTTGCTTACTGGTCCAGTTGTAAGATCTTGTTTTGTTTTCTTTATGTTGAGATGTAATCCTTACTGAACGCTGTAGTCTTTCATCTTCATCAGTAAGTGCTTCAAGTCCTCTTTGCTTTCACCATGCAAGGTTGTGTCATCTGCATAACCCAGGTTGTTAATGAGTCTTCTTCCAATCCTGATGCCCTGTTCTTCTTCATACAGTCCAGCTTCTCAGATTATTTGCTCAGCATGCAGATTGAATAAGTATGGTGAAAGGATACAACCCCGACACACACCTTTCGTGACTTTAAACCACACAGTATCCCCTTGTTCTGTTTGAATGACTGCCTCTTGGTCTATGTACAGGTTCCTGATGAACACAATTAAGCTTTCTGGAATTCCCATTCTTCGCAATGTTATCCATAATTTGTTATGATCACACAGTTGAATGCCTTTGAATAATCAATAAAACACAGGTAAACATCTTTCTGGTATTCTCTGCTTTCAGTCAGGATCCATCTGACATCAGCAGTGATATCACTTGTTCCACATCCTCTTCTAATCTGGTTTGAATATCTGGCAGTTCCCTGTCTGTGTACTGCTGCAACAGTTTTTTGAATTATCTTCAGCAAAATTTTACTTGTGTGTGATATTAATGATATTTTTTGATAACTTCCACATTCTGTTGGATCACCTTTCTTTGGAAATTCTTCCAAATTTCTTGGCATAGACAAGGAAGCCCCTCCAGTGCTGCATCTGTTTGTTGAAACATCTCAATTGGTATTCAGTCAATTCTGGACCCTCGTTTTTTTGTCAATGCCTTCAGTGCAGCTTGGACTTCTTCCTTCAGTGTCACTGGTTCTTGACCATATGCTACCTCCTGAAATAGATGAATGTTGATCAATTCTTTTTGGTACAGTGACTGTGTATTCCTTCCATCTTCTTTCGATGCTTCCTGTGTTGTTCAATATTTTGCCCATAGAAACCTTCAATATTGCAACTTGAGACTTCAATTTTTCTTCAGTTCTTTCAGCTTGAGAAATGCTGAGTGTGTTCTTCCCTTTTGGTTTTCTAACTCCAGGTCTTTGCATATTTCATTATAATATTTTATTCTTTCTTGAGCTGCCCTTTGAAATCTTCTGTTCAGCTCTTTTATGTCATCATTTCTTCCATTCGCTTTAGCTACTCTGTTCAAGAGCAAGTTTCAGAGTCTCTTCTGACATCCATTTTGGTCTTTTTTTTTTTCTTTCTTGTCTTTTTTTTAATGACTTTCTGCTTTCCTCATTATGATGTCCTTGATGTCCTCTCACTTGGCCATAGTTTAACATTTTTTAAATTTATGCTGCATTTTACTTGGTAGCATTTGTATATTGATAAGTGAGATGAGTCTGTAGTTTCTTGCGTTGTCTTTGTTAGGTTTTGGTACTGGGATTTAACTGCCTTATAAAAATGCATTGAGAATCCTTCTATCTTTTTATATTGTGGAGTGGATTCTAAAAAAACAAAAAAACTTTTCCCATGAGTTGGAGGCCACGCAGGTGTGTTTATAAGTACAGTAGGATACTGACCCTCTTCAGCCTCAAGGGGCTGGGTGGCTAGGTGGCTGGGTGGCTGGGTGGCTGAAGCCCCAGGGCAGTTAGCTACCAATGCAGCAGTCTCAAGTGTTCATCCCAGTGTGATGTATAAATATTTCAATTTTCTGTGTGAGCCATGCTGTAAAAAAGTTTGGAATCTAGTCACAGGAAAAATATGTCCTCACACAAACTGGGAGAAGAAGGTTATGTCTTTTTGAAGACTTGGAAACCTCCCTCAACAGTGCCTGTTTAAATCAGATCCTGTCACTGCCTTTCTTTTTGACAAAGTCTCTTGCTTTCAGGTGAGTTGGCCCTGCCAGGTGCCTTAGTTGGGTTGAAGCTTGGCTAGTCCAGTTTCAGCTACAGGTGAACTTCATGCACTTTAGCAGCTGTGTTTTTCTCCTGAGTAGAAGTCCGCAGATCTATTCTCTTGGACCCCCCTGTCCGAGACTTTAAGTACATGTTTACGTGATCCTCTGTAATGAAACTTCCTTTTTAACTGGATGTTTATGTGAGCATTGTTTCCCAAATATATAAATCCATGATTTCCATGCTCTTTCTGAACTAACTGGTATAACCTCTTATCATCTTATTGGTTCCCTTGCTAGCAAATTAGCACACTTTGACGTAACCCGTTGCCATCGAGTCAATTCCAACTCAGTGACTCTATAGGACAGAGTAGAACTGCCCCATAGGGTTTCCAAGGTTGTAAATCTTTACGGAAGCAGACTGCCACATCTTTCTCCCGAAGAGTGGCTGGTGGGTTCGAACCAGCCACTCTTTAGTGACAGCCGAGCACTTTAGCCACTGCACCATCAGGGCTCCTTTTTCACCCTTTGACATAGGCTTTAGAAGTTTTGCTTTTGGACGACTGAAATGTTAAAGAATCCAGCTGTAAAACCATCTGGGCCCAGCACCCTTTTTTTTTCTTTTAAATTTGTGGTTCCTTCCATTTTCACCCCAAAAAGGTGAAGGATTTATTTTTAGTAATTTATTTTATTTGTTGTTGTTGTTGAGAATATACACAGCAAAAACATACCCCAATTCAAGTTTCTATGTGTATAATTCAGTGTCATTGATTATATTCTTTAAGTTGTGCAACCATTCACACCCTCCTTTCCCAGGTTGTTCCTTCCCCTATTAACATAAACTCACTGCCCCCTAAGGTTCCTATTTAATCTTTCAAGCTGCTATTATCACTTTGATCCCATCTAGGTAGTTCTTAAAAACGCATAATGTTCAAGGCAGACATTCTTTACTAGTTAAACTATTGTTTGGTTTTAAGAAGACTTCAGGGGATTTTTCTGGTTTAAGGTTTAAAGATGATCTCAGGACAATAGTTTCAGGGGTTCATCCAGCAACCATGGCTCCAGAAAATCTGGATTCCATGAGAATTTGAAATTCTGTTGTGCATTTCCCACTTTTGATCAGGATTCTTCTACAGAATCTTTGATCAAAATGGTCAGTAATGGTAGCCAGGCACCATTTCTTTTCGGTATCATGGCTAAACGGGCAGTTGTTCAGGAGGCAATTAAGCCACACATTCCATATCCTCTTCCGATTCCTGACTTCCTTCTTCCATTGTTGCTCCAGGTGAATAGAGACCAATTATCCTGAATGACCTAATAACGTGTTCAGTGCTTCTGTGCTACCTCCTAGTTCTTTGCATACTGCCTGGAGTCTTAAAAGCTTGTAAGTGGTTCTTTCAATTTTTAACCAAATTTTTCCACTTACATTCTTGTTTGTTGGCTGATGTCTTAGAGAGAGATCCTTGAGATAGCAATGAAGGCTTCCTTGAGGGCTTCTACGGTGCCCTTTGCTTCATATAGTGTGATCTCATCTAATTCTGACGACTCTGAGTCCCGTTGTTTTTAGAGGCTTAGAATGTTCAAAGCATAGAGAACCCTGTGCTGTTCAAAGTACAAATACAATAAAATAAATGTCGGGGCAGAACCTGGCCCATGACACCGCTGTTCGCCCCGGTGGTGGTGATACGAATGCCCATGACAGACTCGGGAAGCCCCACCAGTTGAGGGCGAGTTGGTAGGAAAACCGGGACAAGGAACTGTTCCAGAAGGAGGTCTACCATGAAGTCCAAGACCTAGGGACTCTTCCTCACTACCAGTTCTGTGAGCAAAACTTGGATATTTATTGAAGACTAACCTGTGAGCAAGGAGCTCTGGTGGTGCAGAGGTTAAGCACTGCCTACAAACTGAAAGGTTGGGGATTGGAACGCACCAGCCGCTCCAAGGCAGAAAAGACCTGGCCATCTGCTCCCGCAAAGATTATGCCTAGGAAACCCAATGGGGCAGTTCTACTCTGTCACATCGGTCGCTAGGAGTCGGAATTGATTGCATGGCACACAATAACAACATTCTGTGAGCTCTCAAGCAATGGACGAAGCTGGCCAAGAGGGAGGCTGAGGGCAGAGGGCTGGTAGTCAAAAGCATAACGATGAGCTTACTCAAGCTGGAGAGCCAATCTGCGCCCCGGGGTTAAGACCTGGGCCCTGCTTTGAGGAGGTCGTGGGACTCAGGCGAAAAAACCACTCCGCACGTCCAGCTGAGACTCCACAGCTGGGCCCTGGGCGGGTACCACGTGCGCCTCCCTGCGTGCCTCCCCGCCCTCTGCTCCTCCCGGCCGCTCGGGGGCGCTGTGCGCGGGCTGGCAGTTGTCGGGCCGTTGGGCGCAGCACGTGCTTTCTGGAAGCCTGGATGCTTGCGCCGGCCCGGGGCGGAGCCGTTGTGGGCGCGCGTGGGCGTTGGGCCACGGGGAGGGTGCGGTGGGACCGGGTAAGGCGAGCGAGGTCCTGGGCTCGCCCGTGGTGGCGTCGAGGTTGGCGGACGGAGCGCGTCGCTTGCGGGTGCGTGGCGGCCGGGGCTGCGGGGCCGGGTGGCCTGGGGTCCGGAGCTGGGCGCGCGGGTGACCGCGTCGGTGACTTGGGGAGAGGAGGTCGGAGCCCCTGAACTGGGGTCGGCAGCCACGGCGCGGACCCTGCGGAGGGCGGAGGCGCTGATCTGCCCAGGGCGCGCGGACGGCGCTGGAAGCGACTTCATTTTCCCCCAAAAAGTTCATTCCGAGTGAGAAGACGGGGAAGAACGGGAGGCGGCGTGGTCCGCCATCCCCGCGACGGTGCGCGTCTTCGCGGCTAGTCCGCAGGCCTAGCAGGGAGGCGCCGGCGAAGATGTTGGAGGTCCTGGTGCTGAAGGTGAGCTCGCGCGACACCCTTGGGGTCCCGTCCTCTGACCCGTCTCTCCCACCCGCACTCCAGGGAGGCGAAACCCGAGGACAGAGCTCCCAGATAAGATACAGGAGTCCATTCAGTTTTACATTGGATATATAACAAATGTTTAAGTATGTCCCAAATACTGCATGGGTCATACCTGTACTAATTTTTGTTGTTTATCAGAAATTGTGTTATTGGTTGTTAACCTGCGTGTCTTGCGTGTATGTATGTATATATTAAATCTGGCAACCTGACGGAGAGGGACCGACGCTAACCCGTTGCCTCCTACACACCCCCGCCTTGGGTCCGGTTTGGGTGAGGGTCCTCTCGCGCCTCTGGTTTCCTCTTTCCCTTCCCCAGCGCGGGTCCTCCGGGTGGGTTTCTGCCCTAGGACTGGGGCGGGGGTGACGTGTACCTCTCTTCCACACCTCTCCTGGCTTCACTCCTGGTGGGGACCCCTGCCTCCCCACCACGCGGGTCCGCTCAGGTGAGGTCCTCGCCCCGCGGGCTCCTTGGGGCGCCGGTCCTCGGACCCAGGGGGTGGGGCAGTGGCTTGCTCCCCGTCGTGCCTCCTGAGCGCTCGCCTGGACACCGGCTTTTTCGTTTTTTGAGTCTGGTGAGTGCTCACTGGTGATGCTGGAGACTGGGAAGCCGTGGTGTGTTCGCGATGTTACTTGGAGGAAGTTTACAAACCAGAGCAAAGGGGTGGGTTTGGATTGTTGGAAAAAAGAAATGTAAGACCCTTAAAAAAATCATTTTAGTGGGCAGAGAAGAGGGACATAGCAAATGATAGGAAATTTTAAACCAACCTTCATGTTCTTATTTTATGTCTTACGTAGTTTATGAGTACAGATTCACACACATTTGGAACAGCTGCCTCTTACTGAGGATTTACTCTGAGACTTCAGAGGTCCAGCTGGCAAGCTGTGCTCCACCCAGTAGGTGCTGTCCATCAGTCGTAACTGCTGCTAGTCGATTTCTCCCATAACAAGACGGGACTCTTCTGGGCTGCCTATCCTGCCATGGACAGAACCTTGGCAGGAGGACCTGGACTCACTGCCTTGTGCTTGGAAACTCCTCCTGTCTCAGATGGACCCCGGGACCCCTTTGCCCCTTTTATATATCCGCTTCGCTCTGCCCCTACTTCCAGCTCTTGCCCTGCTTACCCTCTGAGCAAATTTCCTGTTCCACTTACAGGAGTATTTCTCTATGTGTGGCACAGGTACCAGTTGTAGTCCTCCAAATTGTTTTAGCTTTTACGTGGATAAAAAAAAAAATTTTTTTTTTGATATCTTAGTTATCTAGTGCTGCTATAACAAATGCCACAAGTGGATGGGTGTAACAGGCGAAGTACTTTTCTCACAGTTGGCTAGAAGTCTGAATTCAGAGCGCTGGCTCTAGGGAGGAACGTTCTTGTCTCTTCAGCTTCTGCTTCTCGGTTCCTTGATGATCTCCATGTGTCTTGGCGTCTCTCTTCCCCATCTCTGCTTTTCTTTTATCTTCCATCCGACCATTTAAGACGAAACACTTGTCAATTTGTTAGATCGCTTAGAAACAATTATCATTCTAAGGTTTATTATTTTGTGGCTCTACTTTTAAGTCGTGCATTGTTTTGTTTGTCTTTTTAAATTTTTACAGATTGAAGATCCAGGTTGCTTCTGGGTTGTTATAAAAGGATATAGTCCCTTTTTGGATCATGAAGTTGACTATCAGAAACTAAATAGTGCCATGAATGACTTCTATAACAGCAGGTGTCAGGATAGAAAAATAAAACCATTGCTGTTGGAAGAAGGGCAGGTATGTATCTAAGTGTGCTTTAAACGCATGTTTTGAAATACTATTCAGAATGTAAAATATTTTGGCAACTAAGAAAATAAAAGCTTTTAAAGGATTTTAATTGCTTATAATCATTGTCTTGTACTAAGTTCTTTTGGTTGCACAAGTCTGGGCAGTTCCCGGAAGTGGTGTAAGGTTTATGCGGGGCGGTGAGATGGGCTCTCATCTAAATCCATCCTCCTGGAGCTGGGAGTAAGGGGGGTTACTGTAGATGCAGCACAGGTGTAGGGACCGCAGCAACGAGCACAGGGGTCTTCAATCTAGGACTGATGCCCACCTTTTGGTTGCTGTGGTGACTTCGGCCAACTCATGCTTCTTTATTTCCCTCATGCTGTATCACGGCCCTTCTTCCTTTCTACCTCAGCTCTCTCTGCCTGTTGTCTGATTCTTTCCATGGATCAGTTATTTTTCAGATGAGTTTGAATTTTTGTAATAGTGTTATAGAAAAATCTTTGTAAACTATGAACGAAACTAGAAATAATTTGACTGCCTTTACCGTTCCCTCCAAAAAATCATCAGTTATAACAATGTATTATTTTTTTTCCCACACCATTGACTTGTTGAGGAAGCACAATCAGGGAGATTGTCATTTTAAAATGTCCCACATTTTGGATAGCCTGATGGCTTCCAGATGATGGTGTTTAACTTCTATCCCCCCTCTATTTTCTGTGGACAAATGGTTAAATATGAAGCTTGGATTCGATTTAGGATCACTTTTTTTGCAAGAATGGGTGGTGCTGTGAACTCTGTCTTGTATTGAATTGAGAGACACTTTTGGGGACTTCATCTCATGTACTTTAGACGTGTTAGCAGAAGGGATCAGTCCCTGGAAGAGGATATCATGCTTGGTAAAGTAGAGGTTCAGCAAAAAAGAGGAAGACCCTCAAGGAGATAGATTGACACAGTGGCTGCAGCAATGGGCTCAAACACAGCGATGATTGTGAGGATGGCGCAGGACCAGGCAGTGTTTTGTTCTGTTGTCCATAGGGTCGCTAGGAGTCAGAACTGACCTGACGGCACCTAACAACAAGATTGCCCAGGGGGTTCAGATGGTGACCGCTCTGTCCCTCCTTTGTGGCATCGCTGATCAGCTTTTCATGTAATGATTTTTCGTTCATGGACTTCCACTGCTCAAATCGGCTCTTTTCATTCAGGCTTATGAAATTTTTCTCATTCCTTCTGCATTCATGAGCTGGAATTTTTCTGTATAGAACTTTCCTTCATCTTCTGAGACTAATTAATCTGTCATAACATATTCATACTGGAAGGGTGGAAAAATGGCTTGATTCCTTCCTTTATCAATTTCCAGTGTAGTGACCTGTGCCTGGCTATCTCCTGCCATGTCCAGAGTTTTGTTTTGTTTTCTCGTCTCTGTCTTTGCTTTTAGTATCGTGGTGTTTTGAACTTAAGGCTTTTAATATATTCATCAGTTATAGGCATTGTACTTTTTGACGCTTAAAGTTATCTCATCTTTGGCTAGTGGAAGTCCTGATATAACACAACTCAAAGTTGAATAGCCATGCAAATTATTAACTATTCCTAGCATCCCTGTAAGGTGCTGTGACTTTAGCATTGTCTCGGGCATCTAGTGCTGCTATAACAGACATACCACAAGTGGGTGGGTTTAACAAACAGCAGTTTCTTCTCTCACAGTTTAAGAGGCACCAGTTCTAGGGGAAGGTCCTTGTCATCAGTCTTCCTCTGGTCTAGGAGCTTCTCAGCGCTGGGACCCCAGGTCCAAAGGAGCATTCCCTCCTGGCTCTTCTTTCTTGTGGGTAGGAGGTCCCTCTCCTCTCTGCTTGCTTATCTCTTTTATATTTAGAAGGAGATTGACTGAAGATACAAGCTAATCTTGTAGATTGAGTCCTGCCTCATTAACATAACTGCCTCTAATCCTGCTTCATTAACATTAAAAACAAAACAAAACAAAACATTGCCATCAAGTCGATTCCAACTGATAGCAACTGTTTAGGACAGAGCAGAACTGCCCCATAGGGTTTCCAAGGAGCTGCTGGTGCATTTGAACAGACCTTTTGGTTAGCAGCCTTAGCTCTTAATCACTGTGCCACCAGGGCTCCCATTAACATCATAGAGGTTAGGATTTACAACACATAGCATAATCCTGTCAGATGACAAGATGGTGGACAACCACGCGGTTCGGGAATCCTGGCCTAACTCAGTTGACACACATTTTTGCAGGACACAATTCAGTCCTTAACAAGCATTAAACAGAAGTACTGTCTATCCTTTATCAGAATTTCTCTGGAATCATTTGAGTTTGGAATTATTTGAGGTTCTTAGGAATCCATCCTTTGTAGAATGGCTGCCATGTATTTTCTGGTTGAAATTCCTGAGGAAAGCAATCTCCACTGGCTGGCTTCTTCCTTCTTTGGGTACAGCTGTCTCCCCACTGGACTGCTTTATAAGCCTGTGGTCGGCGTATGGTTTGCTTGTCTGTGGATTGCCGGTCAGGTCGGCTGTGGCCTGGTGGTCCTTGGTACAGTTAGGATGCCAGGGGCTGTCACTTCAGCAGGGTAGTTCCCCTCAGCAGGGGCTGTAGGCATTTATTTAGTGGTTCAACAAGTGGTATTTGAAGACTTCATATATGCCAGGCACTGTTGTAGGTGATGGAAATAACGGCCTTCAACAACACAGGCAAAAACCCACCATCCTGGAGCTGACAGCCAGTTTTGGCAGACAGTGAACAAATGTTAGAGGGTGGGACAGGCCGTGGGAAGCCAGGCAGGGAGGATGGGCCTAAGGTTGCATTTCATGTTGGTCTGATTGACAACCATTTGTAAGTTGTGTTCTCTGGTTTTAGAAGGTAAAGCAATGCATTTTTCTTATTTTACTTTCTAAAAATTGTTCTTAGTTGAGAGATTAAAACCATTTTAGAAAGAGAAACAATGAGCTAGAATTCAGATGACTTGTGTACTTACTGAGGTTCTTTTATGGACAAGCATTGTTTAGCCTGGGCAGATACAGCCTCTTTGTATCTCTTTCCTTTTCTGTAAGGTAAGATGTAGGCTGAGATGATTTTGAGAGAGTACCTTTTAGGTCTCTCATTTTTATAACTACAGATGTTAATACTGAAGTTAAAACAAAACTTTTATCTTGTAGGTTTGTGTGGTTTACTGTCAGGAGCTGAAGTGCTGGTGCAGGGCCATTATTAAGTCAATCATGTCTTCGGCCGACCACTACTTGGCAGAATGTTTCCTTGTGGATTTTGCCAAGTACATTCCAGTAAAATCTAAAAAGTACGTATGTATTTATTTTGCCTTGCACTCTGTAAGGAGACGGATGTCAGTTTTTAAGGAGAATGTCAGTTTTCAAAGTGAGGGGATAGAGGTCATTACTTTTTGAGAAAAGATGAAGCTGGAATTATTTAGCCTCAAGAAATGAAGACGTGCAGGTTCTGATTCTGCATCCACTGAGTGAAGAGAAGGTGGTCACTCTAAGGTCTCCGAAGTCTCTGGCTTGTCCTCCACCTTCCTTTCTGCAAAGGGCAGGGCAGGTGCAGCGTGTTTACTCTGCGTCTCCTTGCAGCTCTGTGCCAGCCTGCTCTCCTGGCGTGTCCTCTGACTTTTTCCTTGTGGTGAACTGGGCCCTTTAGGGAGGCTTGGCTGCAAGAGAGACATTACCAGGAGGTACAGAGACACCCTTTTCACCTGTGCAGATGGCTCTCTTTTTATAGTCTTCTTTTTTTTTTTCTTTTTATTATTGTGCTTTTAGTGAAAGTTTACAATTCGAGTTAGTCTTTCATGCAAAAATTTATACATACATTGTTTTGTGACTCTACTTGCTCTCCCTATACTGTGACAGCACACTCCTCCTTTCCACCCCAGATTACCCGTGTCCATTCAGCCAGCTCCTGACCCTCTCTGCCTTCTCATCTCGCCTCTGGACAGGAGCTGCTTATTTAATCTCATGTATCTACTTGAGCTAAGAAACGCACTCTTCATGAGTATCATTTTACGTCCTATAGTCCAGTCTAACCTTTGAAGAGTTGGCCTCGGGAATGGTTTTAGTTTTGGGCTAACAGAGAGTTCGGGAGTCAGGTCTTCCAGGGTCCCTCCAGTCTCAATCAAACCGTTAAGTCTGGCCTTCTTACTAGAGTTTGAGTTCTGCACCCCACTTTTCTCCTGCTCCGTCAGGGACTGTCTGATGTGTTCCCTGTCAGGGCGGTCATTGTGGTAGCTGGGCACCGTCTAGTTCTGGTCTCAGGCTGATGAAGGCAGATAGCTCTCTTAAAGAGAGCAGAGTATACATTGAAGTGTGTATTCCTGTTTTCATATGAACATAGCTCGCTTCACAGAGCAAGGCTGTGACTATTGCATGAGGTGGGGAGATGGTTCAGAGCGAGCCAGTAACCGGGTGGTGGCTGTACAGTCCTCACTGATTCCGGGGACACACATCACAGTCAGTAGTTGCCACAAGTCAGTGTTGATGTTTTGTGGGAATATTTTTCATAGTTTCCTGTCCCAAAGTAGGAGGTCAGTTTAATAAATAAACACGGACCCTTTTTTCACTAAAGAAAGAGCAATGCCAAATAGACTTCAGTTGCCGTAACAGATTTATCGGAAGAATTTCATGGCAGAAGGGGCTTATCAGACATGGAGAGTTTGCAGATATTTAAGAAAGCAGTAGGTACCTTTCTTTGTGATTCTGCACCTTTACAGTCATAATTATAAAAATAATTACTGTGTTTTACTGCTCTGTGAGATTTTTGTTTTTGTATTTGGGGTTTTAAGTTTAGTTTCAGGCAAGAGAATCATATGAGTAAGTAGAGCTCGGGGAGGCCTCAAGGGGCAATCAGTATAGCCACCTGTTTACTGTCCAGACAGAAGATGGCCAGGCCACCCCCATAGCGCACAGCGGGGTCCAGGGAGGAGACACAGTTCACAGTAAAATGGTATGTTAAGGTGGCCTGCCGTTTGAGAGAAGAATGGAAATGAAAATGTTGAACTTCTTTATCAAATCTCGGTCCTTCAAGTCTTTTGTGCAGAGTTAGCAAATACTAATTATTGAGACACCTGCTCGTTTACAGAAACTTTTAAGGTAATTCGAGTCATATGTTGAAACTGATATTTGAAAATATTTAATAGAATGTGCTTCACAGGTGTGTTTGTTATTACATAGTATTTTTCAACCTTTTATTTTTTTTTTATTTTCATCTGCCTATGAAGCCTTGTTAGATACTTTTTTCCTATCCCGCACCACACCATGAAATTTTAATACCTGAGATATACTATCTGTCTGTGTACTGTATGTCTTTCTGTGCTTTATACATAAGAAGAGTGAGACTTTTTTCACTCCCCAAGAACCAATTTTTACCTCCTTGAGCAAATGTATCCAAGTACTCCTTGCTGTCGGTAGCTATATTGGAAACAGGAAGAATTGTTTTTGTGTGTATGTGTTTTGTTTTGCATGAAGTATATTAGTTACATAGGTGTATTTTAAAGATTCATGACACGCATACTTCTTTTCTTATAATGGAACTATTTCTGTTTCACTGCTAAGCATCCGGGTTGCAGTGGAAGCTTTTATGCAGCTTCCCTATAGAGCGAAAAAATTTGGACTGTACTGCACGAAACCAGTTACGTTGCACATTGACATCTGTGAAGACAGTGCTGAAATCGTGTAAGTACAGCTTCTAAAATAGATTGAATCGTTAGTAAAAATTTTAAATCGAGTATATGATGTTCATACGAAATCAGTTCCTCTTTAGAAGTGCTAAGCAATTTCAAAGGTCTTTTTGTTCTTTGGGCGGCATCTTCTGAGTTTGTCCAACTGGGACGTGCAGCAGAATTTCTGGGCAGCCTCATCTGCAGAGAGGCTCTGGAGTGGGGCCTGAGCTTTTGTGTTCTTGCGTCCCTCCCTCCTTTTTTAATAGACTTATGAAAAGTTATAAAGCAAAGCAGTCATATAGTACGGGATTATGTAGTGTTAAATGTCTTTTGCGGTCTTCTCCAGCCTCAGTTTCCCCTCTCTGGGAGGCCACTATGCTCGGTTAGGCTCTGAACTTCCAGAGCTTTCAGTGCTTTCACAAACATTCATGTGCATGGACTTTTTAACCACAGTCGGAACATACTGTCTTATTTGCCAGTTTCACTTAAGCGCATATGTTGAACCTCTTTGCCAGTATGTGGCCCTCTCCTTTAGCATCTTCATTCCTTTTCACGGGCGGATATAACTCCGTAACATCGGTGTACTTGCTATTTTATAGCTAACTAGGTTGTTTCTACGCCATGCCACACTGTGTTCTCATGAGAATGCAGATAAACCTGTATAAAATAAATAGGTTCAGAGAGGTGTGTAATAAATACATCTATACGCACGCATATGTTGATGTTGTTAGTTGCCATTGAGTCGGCTCCAGCTCATGGCAGGTTCCTGGTCCTGGACCATCTTGACGACATGTGTTGTGGCTGTGTATCAGTCCATATGCACACATACATGTATGTATCTTACACACACACGCCCCTTTCTCTGTTCCTCTTAGTATTTGGCCACATTATTGATGTCTGTACAGGATGGTTTTTTTGCGCTGGGCAGTATCGTGTGAGGGGTGTGGTTGTGACCTTGTGATCTTGAACAAGCACCACCAAGTGTCTTGATTTCTGTCTCCAGTGGTCTGAGGGCAGCCCCATCCTCCCACGTGGTGCTCTTCCCCTCCTTTCCCTCCAGGACTAGAATTGGGGGAAGAACAACTACAGGGAGCAGCACAGTTCTTACTCAACTCGCATGTTCTGGTGCATTGTGCTCCCTGAACTTGGAAGCTGCCTTTCTCGTGGATGCTTCCATGAGACGTTTGGAGACCCTCTCATTCCTCATCCCACCCCACCTCCAGCCACCCACAGTTCCCCCTCACCTACAGGCCCCTGGAGGTGCTGAGTGCATCACTTTTGCGGTCAGCCTCAGAATCCTCACGTTAAGGTAACCAGCCAGCTTGTCTCTGCTGAAGCCAGCGCCCTCTGCCAGGCTGCCCAGCAACCAGCTCTCCCCATCACTGGTCTGTGGGACACACTCTAGCACCTTTGCCCTGAGGCAGTCTGAGAGTCCAGGTCCCAGTGTGGCAGCAACCCCTCCCTCCACTCTCCCTGTGACTTGGCAACAGGCTGACTCTCTCAGAGGCAATCTCTTTCCTTGTCTGTCTCGTTCCGTCTCTGCGTGACCCCCCTTCCCAGCACTCCCGCACTCTTCAGGGAACACATCTGCCAACCTTGGACACACCCAGCCTTAGGATGCCCTCCACGTAGATGAAGGACCTAAGAGTTAAGTTGTCTTACTGTGGTTCAGTTGTCGTCTTTGACAGGTGGTACCTTTGTGTTTGTGCTTCATCCAGACTTCCGTTTTAATATGTATATTACCAATTTTGATAGATTTTGTCGAATTTGCCTCCATTATTGGGCTATAGAAGGTGCCTCTTTTCCCACACAACTTTGAATATGATCAGGCTTTAAAATTTTGCGTGTATTCGCTGGGTGATAACGTTACTGTGTTTTAATTTGTATTTTTCTGAGTTGTAAAGTTGGATGTCTCTCCATGTAGTGTGTGTGTGTGTGTGTGTGTGTGTGTGTGTGTGTGTGTGTGAGAGTGAGAGAGAGAGAGAGAGCGAGCGATTGATCAGTTTACTTGTTTATATCCTAGGTTGACTTTTGTCTTGTGTTGTTTGCCTTTTTCTCATAAGGAATCTACCTTTTATTCAAATTTAAAAAAACATCCGATAATTTTTTGTGTATAGTTAGGTTTTAGGACTGCTGTCTTCACTTATTTTTTGCTTCCTTTTAGAAACCATTCATAATTCTCTTGAATTAATGTGTGCAATATCTCCTTTCTTGGTTAAAATATAAAAATAAAAACAACTAATATTTTTGAATATGGATTATGTGCCAGACACTGGGCTAATAAGTTTTTTATGTCCGTTACCTCGTTTTGATCTTTCAAACAACACAACCCATGCAGGATGGTGCTGTTATCTCTGTAGAATAAAACCAGTGGAGAAACATAAAACATACCACTCTAATCATACTCATTTTCTTTTTGTTCCTTGCTTTCAGATAATTGGTTTCTTCCGCTTTTCCACTGCCTACAGCTCTCTTGATTTTCTTTCTGAAGCAGAGGAAGGAGGTAGAAAGGGCAAGATGATAGAGAGAAAACGGGAGACAGTGAAAGGGAGCTAGAGTGGGCAGAGTGAGGAGTACCATGGGGTGATGGTGATTAGCTGTTTCTAACTCTTAGTGTTGATTTAGCCAACACGTATGAAGCCCTCACTCTGTGCCAGCCTGTGCTGGGCACTGGGCACTTGGATCTCTGCTGTAGGGAGCTTGTATTATGATTAGGGAGACATATATGTCAGAGATAACTGGGGCTGATGGCACTGGGATGAACAATGCCATGGCGGTGGGCACAGGAGAAGGGTACCTTCAGGCAAAGCAGAGCCTGTTCTCAGCAGGGCCTCTGTGACTTAGGTCCCTGCACCAGTGCAGACGGTGGTCTTGGAGAGGAACGTACTGCAGAGACGAGATGGGGCCTCGATTGTCACCCCAGCGCAGAGCCAAAGCCAAGCTCCCTGTTACTTGTATTTTATGTTCAAAATAGAACAGACATCCAGCATTTGATTTACAAAGTGATATTGGTATACTAGCCTCAAATTCTTATTTAATGAAGTTGCATTTGTTCACTTTTCCAGGCCTGCCAGGAAATGGGACAGTGCTGCTATTCAGTACTTCCAGAACATTCTAAAAGGTAAGGCAAGTTGCGGTCAGTGCAGCCTGCCTCTTAGTTTTGCATAGAAGCCACAGCGCTGTAAAATAAACTTACATGCATTTTACTGAACCAGCAGTTGATGAAAAAGCTAACGTCTTTAGTGAGCAAGGGATAGTACATGGATACTTAATTGTTTAATAATCGTTATTGCTAATTTAAGATGTATGAAAGTTTTTTTTTTTTAATATGCTGTCTTAATTTTGTATTGCTGACTCTAAAATATAGCCACATTTGTGGCATCTATATAGGGTCACTATGAGTCGGAATCAACTTGATGACAGTGGGTTTCATTTTTTTGGTTATCGTAACCCCTGGCAGTGAGATGCCAAACGACTATGCTTGCCTCTTAGGACTGTTTTGAGGTGGCACCTAGTTGGGGTCCTGGCCTCTTTCCTATGCTGCTCCATTGTCTTGGTAAAGGAAAAGCCAGATATTTTGAACCTGGTAGAAATGGGAGGCTGGGAAGGTTGCTGGTTTGGGAGTTTGGGCCCTTATGAGCCCATTGGTGGATGCTTGGTGGTGAGAATAAGGTATGGAGGAGGCAGACTACCTAGTTTTGTATTCTGTCCAGCCACTTTTGTGTAGCCTCAGGCAAGTGACTTAACCTTCTTCGAGTCTGGTCTCTTCACCTGTAAAATGACGGTGACAGTACTTACCTCAAAGGGTTGTGATAAAAAATGAGAAAGTGAAAGAGTTATATTTTAAAAATATTTTTTTCATTATTTTAAATTATATTTAAACTGAAAGAATGAAATGAACTGAGGTTTAGAAAGGACTTAGCACAGTACCTGATACTTGTGAAGAGCTCAATAAATGGAGCTGCCTTATGGGTCATTAAGACTCTCATAGAGCAGTCAGGTACTCTGATCCACGGAACATTCAGAGGGATAGAATGGACTCTGAGAGGAAGATTGTGACTGGAAATTTGGATTTGAGAGGCACTGGAGGAAAAGAGAGGGCCAAGAGTTGTACTTCAGGAGGTATTTGTAGGATGGCAGGAGGAGGATGCCATTTATGGGGACAAAGGGTACATGACTTATTGCCTAGTCAGGAGAGCCTTTTCCTTAACTCACCCACCCCGGATCCGTCAGCATTAAGAGCCTGCCCTGCTGGAGGAAGCCGTTGAACACTTGATGCTGCGCGGTCTTACATGGTTAGCAGAGATTAATAGTGGGAAATAGTTGAAATTATTTCAAGTACACTCTTAATATCAGCTATAATTCATGTTTTCTTTATGCTATTTAGCTACTACCCATGTGGAAGCCAAGTTATGTGCTGTGGAAGAAGATACTTTTGAGGTTTACCTTTATGTAACTATAAAAAGTGAGAAAGTAAGTGAAAGAATTATACTTCAGAAATTGTTTTTATTATTTTAAATCTTATTTCAATGAAACAAGAATAAACATCAAGGAAAAAAATGTCATTGACTCAGCATAGAACTTTTCTTAATCTTTCAAGGTCTGGCTCAGACCAGAAATTAGCCAGGACTGTGTATTCGTCTTTTGATTACTTTAGAAAAATTACTCAATTGTTTTATTTAGGCAGCATTTTATTTAGTAATGGACAAGAAATTATTCCTACATGGGTTAGTGTGAAATGTTTTGTTATGAAAGGACATACTTTTTATACATACATGGCATTTGCTATGCTTTTAGTTTATTGCTTTTTTCCCCCCAATTTTTTTATTGTATGTAATATGTACTCATTGTAAAGAATTCAGATAAGATAAACAGAAGGAAAGTAGACTTCACATGTATACTCCCTGCCCTCTTCCTTTCTCTGTTATTAGCTGTTAATGTTTTGGCTGGACCCCTGTGTGAATCAGTCCAGGAAGACTAGCATCACCCACTTCAGCTGCCAAATTGTGTGGTGGCTAACAAACTGTGTCCTGTGGAAATCTCAGCTTCCCTTCCCTGTTCAGTTTAGACCTCAGCTGCCCATGGAGTGCTTCTGTCTCTCATCCCTATTCACTCAAGGCTAGGTCAGGGGATACCAGCTGCAAGTTGGGGAGTCCACATGGCTCTCTCTACCTCAGACCAGCTGGCCCCCAGTACTGTTTTGGGTCCTGTAATTTGCTAGAATGACTCAGAGCTCACAGGAGACACCATACCTGCAATAACAGCTTTAATATTACAAAAAAGGATACAGATGAGACACACAGGGCAAGGTGTGGGAGAGGTCACAATGTGGAGCTTCCATGTACCAAGGAGATACATGCTACCTTCTCCTGTATATGATCACCAACCAGGAAGCTCCTTGAGCCTCTATCTTCCAAGGCCTTTATGGGCCTTACCATGTGGCCATGATAGATTATATCATGCCTACTGAGGCTTAGTCAGCATTGGGCTCCCAGGTGGTCCTTTTGCTCTGGTCCTCATTAATTAGCCTCAGGTGTTGGTATGGCTTGAAAGAATTCAGAACAAAGGCAAAATGACTTTCTGAGGGGTGATTCCACACCCCGCAACACCCTTTCTGAAGGATGGCACAGGGGTGCTGTTCAAAGCCCACTGAGGGCACGCAGACCATGGGCTTTGTTTTTGAAATAATTTTAGAGTTACGGAAGAGATGCAAATATGGTACAGAGAGTTCTTGAATACGCTTCACCCAGGTTCCCTTGATGTTAACATCTGTAGTATAATTATTAAAATCAGAAAGTTAACACTGATAAAATACTATTTAAAAATCTAAAGCTATAAACCAACTAGATCTAATAGTCATATATAGAACAGTCCGCCCAACAACAGCACAGTATACATTTTTCTCTAGTGCATGGTCTGTACGTTAGGCTGCAAAGCAAGTTTCAATAAATTTAAAAAGACTGAAATCATGCAATCACAATGGAATGAAACTAGAAATTAATACCAGAAGGAAAATTGGAAAATACAAAAATACGTGGAAATTAAGCAACAGATTGTTTAAACAACCAGTGAGTCAAGGAAGAAATCATGAGAAATCAGGAAGTACATTGAGTTGAATGAAAATGAAAGCACAACATACCAAAATTTACGGGACACAGTGAAGGCAGTGCTCAGAGAGAAATTTATAGTGGTAAAAGCCTATATTAAAAAAGAAGACAGATCTCAAACCAATAACCTAATTTTACAGCTCGAGGAACTAGAAAAATAAGAGCAAACCAAGCCTGAAGCTAAAACAAGGAAATTGCAAAGATCAGAGCAGAGATAAATGAAAAGATCAGTAAACTCAAACCTTTAGTTAGACAGACAAAAAGAGAAGATGCAGATACCTAAAATCAGAGGTGAAAGTGGGGACATAACTGATCCTATAGAAATAAAAAGGATAATAAGGGAATACTAAACTGTACAACAACAGATTACCTAGATGAAATGGACAAATTCCTAGAAATGCATAAACTTCCTACATTGACTCAAAAAGAAATAGGTGATCTCAACAGACCCATACCAAGTGAAGAGATTAAATCAGTAAATCAAAAACTTCCCAATAAAGAAGAGCCCAGGACCAGATGGCTTCACTGGGGAATTCTGTCAAACATTTATAGAAGACGTGACTCTAATCTTAAACTCTTCCAAAAAATAGAAAAGGAAGGAACACTTCTAACTCATTCTATAAGGCTAGTGTTACCTTCATACCAAATCCAAAGACAACACAAGAAAACTACAGACCAATATTCCTTATGAATATAGACGCAGAAATCCTCCACAAAATACTAGCAAACATAATCAAAAAGCATATTGAAAGCAATACACACCATGATCAGATGGGATTTATCCCAAGACTGCTAAGGTGCTTCAACATTACAGAGTGAATCAGTGTAATATATAATATACCACATTAATTGAACAAAGGAAAAGAACCACATGATCTCTTCGTTGATGCAGGACAGGCATTTGACAAAATCCAACACCCTTTCTCGATTAAAATACTGAACAAACTAGAAATAGAAAAGAAATTCGTCAATATGATAAAGGGCATTTATGAAAAAATCACAGCTAATATACTGTGGAGAAAGACAGCTTCTCCTGTCAGATCAGGAACAGACAACAATGCCCGCTCTCACAGCTGCTCTTCAGCATCATTCTGGAAGTCCTAGCCAGAACAATTTGGAAAGAAAAAGAAAAGGTATCTAGATGGGGAAGGAAGAAGTAAAACTATTACTTTTTTGCAGCTGCAAACCCCAAAGAATCCATAGGAAGCTACTAGAGCTAAAAAATGAATTCAGCTAAGTGGCAGGATACAAGGTCCACACGCGAAAATCAAGTTTCTATACATCAGCAGTGAGTTTTATGAAAAGGAAATCGAGAGAAAAAATTCCGTTTACAGTAGCATCTACAAGAATAAAATACCCCAGAATAAATTTAACCAGGGAGGTAAAAGATTTGTACACTGAAAACTGTGAAATGTTACTGAAAGAATGTAAAAAAAAAAAACCCTAAATAAATGGGAGGCCATTTCATGTTCATAGATTGAAAACTTAATGTTGGTAAGATGTCAGTGTTATCCTGAGCAATCTATAGATTCAGAACAATCCCCACCAAAATTCCAACAGCCTTCTATGAAAAAATGGGAAAGCCAGTCTTCAAATTTATATGGAACTGTGAGGGTCCCCAAATAGCTAAAGCAGTCTTGAAATTGAGCAAAGTAGGACAACTCACACTTCTGATTTCAAAACATATTATAAAGCTATAATAATCAAAACATACATAATAAATTCCTTTTAAAAATTGTCTACATGAAACCAAATGGTCGAAAACTAAAGCAAAGATGAGAAGGTAAGGGGGCAGGGAAATTAGTGGAAATGGTACAACTGGAGCAGAATAAATGAGAATGATGATGCATTGTGACAAATGTAACCAGTATTACTGAATAATTTGTATAAAAATTGTTAAATGAGAACCTAATTTGCTGTGTAAACTTTCACCTTAAACACAAGAAAATATTATTTAAAAAAAAATACATGATAGACATACCTATCAATGGAATAGAATTGAGAGTCCAGAAGTAAAACCATACATCTGTGGTCAATTGATTTTCAACAACAGTGCTAAGTTTATTCAGTGGGGAGAGAATAGTCTCTTTAATAAATGTTGCTGGGACAACTGGATTTCCACATGCAGAAGAATGAAGCTGGAGCCCTCTCTTACACCACGTATGAAAATTAACTCAGAATGGATCAATAACCTAAATGTAAGAACTAAAACTAAAACTTTTGGAAGAAACGCAGGGAGTAATGATTTGGGATCTAGTTTTTGTCAATGAATTCTTAGATGTGACACTCAAAGCATAAGCAACAAAAGGAAAAATAGATAAATTGGACTTCATCAAAATTTAAAGCTTTTGTGCATCAAAATGAAGAAACAGCCTGTAGATTGGGAGTTTTGGAAACCATATATTGTTTAACATCCAGGATATATACATAACTCCTGCAACTTAATGACAAAAGACAGCCTGGTCAAAAAAACGGGCAAAGGACATGAACAGACATTTCAAACGAAGAAATACAGATGGCCCACAAGAATGTGAAAAAAAGTTCATTGTTTCTTCTCATTAGAAAGATGCAAATCAGAACTGCAATGAGATACTGATTCACACCCACTAAGATGGCTATGATTTAAAAAAAGAAAACAATGTTGGCAAGGATGTGTAGACATTGGATCACTATTGCTGGTAGGAATGTAAAATGGTACAGCCACTGTGGAAAACTTTTTGGTGTTTCCTTAAGAAACTGAGAATAAAATTACTATGAAACTGGGCAATTCCACTCCTAGGTAGATACTCCAAAGAATTGAAAATAGGAATGCAGACAGATACTGGTACAGTAATGCTCATTGCAGCACTATTCACAATAGCCAAAAGGTGCAAACAGCCTAAATGTTTATCAGCAGGTGAATGAGTAAACAAAATGTGGTATATTCATACAATGTAATATTACTCAGGCATAAAGAAAAGTGAAGTCCTGTTAGGACATGGGTGAACCTTGAACACATTGTGCTAAAATTCAGCACAGGAGAGTAAGAAGAACAAAGAAAACATCACCACGAAAAACAATATGGCAGCAGTAAACTCATACTTATTGATAATTACACTGAATGTAAATGGCTTCAATGCACCAGCAAAGAGACAGAGTGGCAGAATGGATAAAAAACTGCGACCCATCGATATGCTGTCTACAAAGAGACACAGACACACAAACAAATACATTAAAAATCAAAGGATGGAAAAAATATATCAACCAAACATAACCAAAAAAGAGCAGAAGTGGCAATAATAATCTCAGATAAAATAGACTTTAAGGCAAGATCCACCATAAAAGACAAGGAAGGACATGATAATAGTGATTAAAGGGGCAATCTGT